GGGTCCTTTCTTCGGCGCTTCCGTCGCTGTTCCGACCTCCCCGCCGCCCCCTGGCCCCACGGCTGCCCGCTCTCCCGGTCCCGATCGCCCCGCGCTCGCTCTGCTCTCTCCGCTTCTGCTGAACCGTGCGTTTCTCTAAATGCTCGAGTCTTCAAACTCCCGAGCCCGTCTTAAGTCCAGAAAGTCACAGCTGTCGATGCCTCTGCTGGAATCTTTTCAGAGGTGAACCGGAGCTCGCACACCCTTGCCTCCATGGCAAGCTCATGAAAATGAATGAGGCCAAATTTATCAGGAAAATAGCCCGGCTGAATTATTTAGAGATCACAGTGCTGCTCCTTTCCTAGATTCGTAAGGCCGCTTTCCAGGTGATGCAACAGGTGGATGACGTGACCACAGGAGGGGAAAGAAAGAACTTGTTTATTCTGTCACCTAACTTTAAGTGCTGCAAGCCCAGACTGGAGTTCAAGGACTGATTCGCCCGATCGTTGCGATTGAAATACCTCAGAAAAACCCGCTAGAGAATTACTGTGCTAGTTAAATGCGTGTTTGGGTTTGTTGACTTGCCTTTGGTTACCGAGTTTTTTTATTTTGTTTTGTTTTGTAAAGATTATCTCTGCCTTCAGTGTTTAGAATTTTTTGTAAGTGGATTGACAAATGAAAAAAAAATCCCTCATCGTTATTTTTGTTGGGTTAAAGATGCAGAGATTCTGCAGTGCGGATTCTTGGTTCTCACTCGCAGATCTAAACTTTGTGTTCTTTGTATTGTTTATAAGATTATAAATTTAGAATTTAAAAAGGGATAAGCCATATCTGGGAATTATGTCAGCAGAGCGGAGAGTCTGCCCCTGACTTGAGGTGAGTCCTCTGTTAACTTGTGAGGTAAACCTGGAGGTAAAAGGAGGTGGATTAGCGGGGAGAAAAGTAAAGCTAATAGAAAAGCTAAAGGGGAGAGTAAGCAAGAGGCCCTAGAAAACTATGACAGTTTGTAAGGCCTTTGGTGTAAGTCACTGGTTAAGAATTAATTCTCTAAAGTTCCCGTGTTCGACCAGACGCCCTTCTTTTCTGAGACTTTATATGGCCCTTTATTGTTTCAATGCGCCCCATCTGAATTTGGTTTCTTTTTTATTCATAAAGTCTATCACAAACCATCCCTATAGATATATTCTGTTCTCAGAACTATCTTAAACCGGGCGTGGTGGCTCATGCCTGTAATCCCAGCACTCGGGAGGCTGAGACAGGAGGATCGCTGTGAGTTCCAGACCAGCCTGGGCTACATAGTGAGTTCCAGGTCAGTCTCAACTACATAGTGAGACCCTGTATCAAAAAATAACAACAACAAAAAAGAACGTATCTTAAGCCTATGTTTTGTAAATTAGGATTGTGTTGTGGTCAGAGATCATGGTTTCAGAGCCTTACAAAAACCTGTGAAAATTGGAAAAGTTCCGCTTTTTTAAAGAGCTGGGATGCACCTCAGTAGTTAAGTGCTTGCCTCTAGATGCCATGGGTTCAATTCCTGGTACCATGCGGAGGCGGGTTTGCTTTTGAAGCTAAACGGAAAATAATGTCTTTTGGCATTTGGTAGGTATTATGTAAATCAGGAAAACCATTGCTAATTATGTTAAACTAAGACTAGACTATACTCCAACCAGTATTTTTTAGGGCAAAAGTGTTCTGAACAATGTAATACTACCTAAGTAACCAAAAGCTTGTTTCTCAAATGTTGTAAAAAGTAAGTCGTTACAGCGGAAGCAGACAAAGAACAGGGTAAAGCGATCTGCACAGATGACTAAAAGTGGTATCTAGAGTTTCTAGGATACAGTCTTGATTCATCTTGTCTACTGAGTTATTCCTGGGATTCTTATGTATTGCTTTTTCCTGTCACCAGGAGGAGGAACATATAAATCAGAATGGTGGATAGTTGAATTATTAGGCTTCTAAAACACTTGTATGTTCTTTTCAGAGTTTTTGGTCTATGAATGTTTTATGTCACCAGTTCAGCAACTTATTAATTTAATTTTGAGTGTAGAAGCTACAGGATGCATTAATTGTCCTTTTTTTCTTTAAAGAATTTAGAGTATCATGAGGGAGATAACAGTAGCAACAATTCAAGATATAACAGGATTTTGTTAAAAGCAGAAAAGAATGCAGTGGAGCCTAGGTTATAGGATCAGGAATGTGGAAAGATAAAATGGGTGAAACTGGAAGCAGTGGTAGGCTCTCCAAGGGCCGAGGACGTGAACAAAACGGCAGGAGTTGGAAAGAACAGGCTGAACTTTGGAAATACCAGCTGGTCCAGTATTACCAGAGTACAAGATGCTTGAAAGGAGAGAAAAACTGAAAGTTTCCTGGAACGTCACGCGTGGAGTGATGATGGGCTTAACTGAAGGGCAGAGGGGCTGTGAAGGTGAAGCCACTTAACCTTTCTGTGGAGGGGAACAGTGATCAGTTTTACTGGAATTTAGAATGAAGACCAGTGGGTTGAGGTGTACGTTTTCATTTTTTGTATTCATTTTTCTCAAATCAGTTTTAGTAGTGGTTTTGCTTAATGCCAAGAATGAATTCCTTTTATCTTTGGTAATAGTTCTTATTCCTGTCAGATGCCTTTGAGGCTTGCTGTTCTCTACAGGTCTAGTTCATGAGCTGTCTGGTCCAAATTTAACATAAAAATCAATCTTTGCTTTGCCATGACAGTGGTTATACCTAATGCCGTGTATCCTTATGCCTTTTTGTCAGATTGTCACCTGCTTCTGCTCTGACTACATTTTTCCTATTCACTAGATTGGGGGAGCTGTGTGGATCATTCCTCTTGTTCTGTAACTGCTACGTATTTGTAAATAGTTGTATGAAGGCCAGCTGTATTAACTTCTCCTGGAGGAAGAGTGTCATCCTCAAAAGGTTACTTGATCATGCATAGTGCTGCTAAATTATTACTTGCTCTCCTCGGTGGTTATGTTCTCTGTGTACTTGGGGTAGTCTGCCACCAGTAAAACATGTCTTGTAATTTTCTGAGTCTTGGAAATGAGGTTATTTACATATTTCTGACTCACTAGCATATGTAGCAGGTTGATTTAGGTTAGTTTTGAACATGGGGAGAAAGCTCTGGTGTAATCACTTTAGCAGAAAGTTTTCCTTTTTCATTAATCCAGATTTTCTTTTTAGCTGGAGGTTTAGCTCAGTGGTCCTACTGCCTACCTCCCAAATGCAAGGTCCCGAGTTCCATCCCTAGCCCAAAACAAACAGATTTTCTTTTTAATATCATGGCTTACTGATACCTGTAAAATATGAAGGTATTTGATAGTGTTTAAGTTTCTTACTGTTAGTATCTATACATCTTCAGAATCTTGAAGAAATACTCTTTAGGACTCTTCAGATTTAGGCATGTTTGCCTGGACTCCATTCTTTTGCCCTGCGTTTCTCACAGACATCTATAGATCTAATTTAGAGTTTCTCAACAAGTTTCAGACTTACATATTTAAATATACGCTTTACCTAAGTGGGTTCCTAATGTCTCAGAATCATTGTATCCAGGAACAAATGTCTTCCCTCTTCTCCATACATCATACTCTTCTACTGACCCCAAAACACCACTGCTTTTGTTATCATTTTATCTTGGTAACTAGTACTTTCTTTTACTCAGTAACCCAAATCCTTGGTTTGTTTCTCATACTTGCAAAGTTACTACCACAGCACTAAACATAGTATTCTCATTGGGCAGGATGTGAAAGAGGGCAAGGACTTTCTTCACATGGACCTCTGTGTCCTTGCACAGAAAGGGAAAAAACATTGCCAGAGCCACCCTGCCTTCTTGGAGATGCCCCAGAATTAGTTTCCATGTAACTGCCGAAGCAGAATAAGTGGGTATCTGGCTTTTCTAGCCTGTCTGGTGACTTGCAGGTGAGAAAGGCAGGCATTTGGAAAACGGCAGTCACTGGAAACTTGGGATGCTTGGCACATTTCACTTTCTGAGTACATATTTGTTTAAATTGGTTGTTTAACACCTATTCCCCTATTATCAAGTTTAACTTCAGGCCCTTGGGCTGGGGATTTAGCTCAGTGGTTCCACCACCTGCCTCTCAAGTGCAAAGACCGAGTTCGATCCCTGGTACCAAAACAAACAAACTTCAGGCCCTCGTTATCTCACTCTGTTTAATATAGTACAATGGCTTCCTCAATGGTTTCAATCACTGCTATTACTTTTTTTTAAATTTATTTCCCATTCATTTACCAAAGTTAACTTTCTCGAAACATGAGTGATTGTGCCATTCCTCTGCTTAAACTATACCTGCAGAATAAAGTCTCATGCCCTTTATGAGATAGTATCTACCTGGCAGTTGAAAACCTATCTCCTCCTAATGTGTGTATACTTTTGATGTTCACACAGTGAAACTTTTTAGTTACCTGAACAGGCTATCA